CTAATTCACTGTCTTTCCTCTATCGAGTAAATTGTTTACAAGGAATTTGAGTATATCCATTGATGCAGGATATATTTGAACTTGTATAAAGTGTATTTTTCAAACAATACGTCACGTTAGTCGACTAAATTCTTATTTTCACTGACGCCTTCCGCCGGTATACATTTTATATTATGTCAAAAAAAAAAAAAAAAAAAAAAAACAAATGTTCAAAATTGCTATTTTATTTACACTTTTATCAGGTCGATTATTCTAAAATACAAGCCAATGAATAATTAATTCATAATCATCATTTCTATTTATAATATAATAAGACACATACAATATACGCCAACAATTATAACATAAATCTTTTAATTATTCAATGATACTTGAATTAAGCAATCTGATTTTTCCAATTTTCTTTCCGAATGAAAAAAAAAAAAAAATGTGTATGATCTGTAAATAATTATATAGATTTAATGAAATAATTGCATTTTTAATTATAATATATAGATATAATTTCGAAAGTTATTTTATGCTAGTAGCACAATATTGTTCATTAACTATTTATTTTTTGCAATAACTTTTTGTACATATATTTTATCAAAAAAAAAAAAAATAAAATAAAAATATATATATATATATAAATGAAAAACCAATATAACATAGATATTAAGATAATTTTTTAATTTTACTGATAATTGAACAAACTTAATTAGTCGTTTTGTAAATAAGTATGTTAATTATTATATGCTTAATTTATCGAACTAAAAGAAATAAAAACATTTTAAAACAAATAATATCTTAAAAATACTTAATATGCTCATCCTCAAAATTTATCTTAGCTTTTCCTCCTTATTTTATGAGTTGTGTAATCATGATCATTATTTATAACGTTATAAATTGTAGTATTTAACTAAAGGTAAAGTTATCGGTTAATCCATTTAAAAATCATTCGATGTATTGAGTCTTCGTATTCATTATATTTATCATGTGTAGCTTTTTATATAGAATAATGTAATCTCACATGCTTCACATTATCCTAATTGTTTTTAAAAATTGTTACTTCATTTACAAAATACTTTTCATATTGTCGATTACAGTTTTCATTAAAGTTTGTATTATTTTTCAATTGCTCATTAAAATCTTTGATAATTGCGCTTTGTGAAGTACTATCAATTACCTCATACAATATATTATTAATACATTCCTACATTATCGACAAATGTTAAATTTTCATATGAAAAAATTCATATATAATTCACAATGTTAAAATTGCCCAATTTTATTTTGAAATAAAATACAAAATAAATTATATAATATTAATTGATGCAAATATTGATGAAGCAACAAGTACAGGTCCAAGAATTTAGTTTGAAAGAGTGTGATTGTATTTAATAACAAGTTTTCTAAATTTAAATACGATGTAATTGCTGTATTTTTTTCTATTTAATAAAGAAGATTTGTTATAAACATAATAAAAAATAATCAAATATAGGATTATATTTTATTTCATATTTGAAAATGATAAAACTATCGTTAAACTGTTAAATTTTGATGGGAAAGGTAATTTCATTATGAGATGAAAGATATTCGATAAATTATATTGTTTAATTTAGAATGTTCAATTCAAAATAATATTTTTTATATATTATATATAAATACAGTATAATGATGTGATATTTTCCCCATCATTATTTATCTTAAACCTAGTAAAATAAAATGCTCTATTTCAATATATTTGTAATGTTTCTATTTTCTATAAATTTTAATCAATATGTTTTTTTATTATATTTTATCAATATTTCTTTTTTTAACTTTGTAACAAATGTCTGATTTGCTTTGTTTGTGAATTTAAGTTCTCTATTGCATGTACGATGAGAGTTCATTTTAGGATGTTATTTATTTGTAATTGCTATGTAATTTATTCAAAAATTACAGAATAATTAAAACATCAAATTAAATCAAGGAACTTGTTAATGAAATATTGAAAAAATATGATAATTACCAGATATTCTAATTGTTATAATGTATTTTCAAATTTTATTTTACAAGTCAATGAATTTACTAGTGGCAGTTTTATAATAATACAAACGAGATTTTTTAAAAATAATTTTATAAAGAAACAGTACAAATATTTCACAAGCTTAAATAGTTTTTGAAATAAATTAAAAGATTAAAATTTTATTCTAATAGTATTTCTTATCAAGTTCAGAAACCAAAGCAAGATATTACATTTAATAACAACTTTTAATTTTACTCTAATATATTAATATAAGTACATTCATCTTAAGTATAAAATACACTTGAATTTTACCTGATTTGGAACCAAGTAATACAAATTAACACTTAAAGTTAACAATTAAAAATTTGTGTAAAGTTACTCGTCATATGCATTGTATATAGTAAAATTCCCTAAAAATTTTTTAACTTTATAATTAAACTTAATAAAATTAGTAGTCTTTTCAAAATCTGTTTAGTATAGATAAGCGAGATTAAATTTATAGCCATGGATTTTTTGAACAATTTCAATTGCTATAAATCATATTATTATTAATCGGATAAGATTGAATTTGATAATAGTTTTCAACTTATTATTATTAAAATCAATATAATTTAATAAAATAATTAATAAAAAAAATTAATATTGACTAGTCATACATGCATCGCAAAATTTTACAATACTAAAAATGTACATGTTCATTAATAAGAAACTAACTTAAACATCTATTACTGATAAATAATACAGCCAATAACAAAATCCGCATTGCTTTGTAAAATTATTACTATAGTTTTCAAGTAGATACAATATGATTATATAAATAGCTATATATAATGACACAAAAGTTACATTTATATTTTGAAATTTATTTCAATTTTTTCGTTTTTAAAAGTTGAATATATGATTAAGTTAATATAATATTTAATTTTTATTAATTCTTCTTAATAAAAATTTTACTATTCTAAATATAATAATTGACAAATACAATAAATCAGTATTATTTAATATAAAGTTTAAAATTCTCATTTATTAAATAAAATAAATACTTACTTTACTGTATGATTATTTATACTACTACAATTAAAAAAAATTCATATGCAAGGCTGTTGTCATATTAAATATTAAATTATAAAAAATAAAGAGTACACTTTATTATTTATCTATTATTTATTTTATAAACTTAATGATAAAACATAATTATTCTGCATCATCTCCATTTTCACCTTCATCTTCATTTTCATCTGCGTTTCTAGCTACCCATTTTTTTATTTGATGACTACTGAATATCACATAAGCGAATGGTATTGCACAAAAAATATACAGATGGGTAATTTTTTCCTGTGAAAATTATATTTATAAATATATTACAGTATAAACTAATTGTATAAGAGTTCTAAATTGTGTCTCAAGTGCCTCAATGTATTTATTTGTATATTAATTAAGATAAGAAAGAAATTAAATTTAATATACAATTTGACCTTTTTTTTTTTTATCAATTAATGACAGTGATAGAAAATATCCTTCAAAATATAAAGATCAACTCAGCATATCGTAAATATTTCCTAAATTTCAATATTATTAGAGGTGAAATTAATATATATATATATTATAACTATTAATTCATTTATATTGACAAAAATAATGCTGTATCACCTACTATTTCAATTTACATAATAAATTACATCTTTTTAAATATTATGCAACTTACTAAATTTGTTATTCATAATAAAGTATTTGTTTATGAAATATGAAATATATGCAGTTATTTAATATAACTCTTACATATTTTAATAAAAAATAATAGTAGTTACATGTAGATAGGCATAAAAATAATATTTGTAGATTGATCACTTCAAATTCACCCTTATACTTATGTAACCTATTTTCGTAACCAATTGTAATAAAAAAAAAAAATCTTAAAAGAAAATTATAATTTTAGAATAATTTTGTAAATGAATTAAACATTATTTTGCTTTTTAATATAAGATAATTAGTAACATTTATAAATCAAAATATTTATAATGTTAATACCTTGAAAGATGCGTCACCTAAAGGTCTGCTGGCGATTTCTCCATTATTTCTTGTAAATATTTTATGAATTTGGATATTTGATTGAATCAACTTTCGTAATGGGTACATTGTTAATTGTATTAAATGACAGATCTACAGTATACAGTACTTTTTAAATAATAATCCGCGACTTTACAAAATACTAGGAGCAATGCAGAAGTTTACGAATCTGATGTAGATTAAAATAAACATGGACGGTTCATATTACTACGTGATTCAAGTAAGCTTTCGTTTTTTAATTTTGTAATGGATGTAAGTCCATAGTTTAAATGTCTTTTTAATATAATATATTGATTAATGATATTATTAATGATAAATAAAATGAACGTAGGTTTTGAAGAAAAATAGCATTTTCTATATACTTGGATATTTTTGGATTGTTGTATTATGATCATATTCTTCATTGTCTAGAATACAAAAAAAAAAGGCATCTAAATACCATTCGTGATAGATAAATTAGCTTTTCTTTTCTATTACATTGAAAAATGACGTTGTATTATAATTAGATTATAATTAAGTAAAAATTAGGATGTATCATGGTGTAGGATGAGATGTTATTTTGTACATTTTTAATTTGTTAAATCGTCCAATATTGGCATGGGACTTTAACCGGGAAATTCAAGTTCTATTTTACACAATTATCGCTTATATGTTATATATTTATTATTGTGATATATTATCGTCACGTCTTCCTAAGATCGCGTAGGTTATTTTTATCGTTTTTACACTCATAGGAATTTATAAAATTTTGAGCTGACATAAATGTATATAATAATGATATTAATTTTCGTCACTTTCGTCATCACATACTATTTATAAACATATCTCATAAACATAAAAATAATATAGGCACATTTAATATGGACACACTACTCGTAACTCTTTAAAACTGGAAATTGAGCACATTCAAACGTTTGCGTGACTCCGCGTATATCCCCAGGGTGCATCAGGGTGCATTCGAATGTAAACATGGCCGCCGGTGTATTGTGCGACGAGTATTTCTACTGTACCAAATTCGGATTTTCGTCGTCGTGGACGTAATGAGCGGAAGGAAATATGCGCAGGGAGGGCCCAGGTAACGCAGCCTCGACTCCTAGTTGATTAAGTATGCGAGCCTGCGTATGCAAGGCTCCATAAGTTTTTCCTTCTCGGTGCGTCGCGTCCAGTTGAGGAAGGAAAAGTTTCGTGGTAGAGCGAGTGAGCGCGGAAATGCGAGAGAGGGAGATGTATATTTCGAAGAGAGCGACGACAATCTGGCGCTTGCTTTTTTATGTAGGTCGATCGAGGTTTTGATCGCGAGGGTTGCTCCTGTGTTTCGAGAGTTGTCCTTCTGTTTCCGCGAAGGTGTGAAGTGAAAAATGTCGCGACAGACCGATTATTCCAACAGACATAGGCGACAAACAGCTGGTTTTGTGAGGTGGTTCAGCTGACAACCGATTAGTGCCGAGGACATATTTTCATTTCAAAACAATCGATGGACTCGCTAATGACGATTCAATTCACTTCTTTCGAATGGCTTTTATTGTGATAGACTATTGTCGGCTGTTAAAATTTGGAGTCTATGACTGTGCAATTAACATTGTGTTGTGGGAAAAGAGTTATTTGACTAGTTAATTAAATTGAATCCCGAAATCTCATAATGTGCGTATTGATGTTCCAAGCACGCGGATGTCTGTTGGACGAACGCACGTTCGCACGCACTCACGCACTCACGCACGAACCCACGCAAGCACGCAAGCATTCACGCACGCACGCACGCACGCACGCACTCATACACGCTGCCAATGAATTTTGTGGATATTAAAAATGAATACTTTATTTGCTTTCTATTTCTGATTCCATTATTTTATTTTAATAATGACGCTCATTGTATTTTGCTATATATACGAAGAAATTTAATATAAATCCTAGCCAATATAATAGCATGCTTGAATTATTTTAAAAAACAGTGAAAATATTCAATGCTGTTCAAAGGCTGCAGTTTGGTTCTTCAATATTATTGATTTTATTTTATCTATGTATATTTCATTATAATTTAATTTTCCAAATTAATAAAAAACACAATATTGAATATTCATAAATTTAGGAAAAACTTAATTTGTGAAATGGGTATATTTTTTAAAAAGCTATTGGTTCAATTTAGAGAATTATTTTAGTTCTGCAAAATTTAGATATTGGAAATAGTGATGTGTTTTGGATGAATGAAATGCATATATTTTAATATTATTTTTTTTCAACGTATATACATAATTTCATAAATATTTTATATATATATATATATACATATATATCGTATAACTTATTTAAACATTCTTAAATATTAAAATATATGCATTTTAATTTATGTTGTAATTATCAATAACAGTTTGGTTAATACTAAATTTTATTTATAATCATATACTGTATTTCTAGTTATAGAAATCAACGACTTAATTTATAAATATTTGATGCAAAATTTTAATATTCTTATTTTTAAAAAATGAGATAAATTTTGTCAATAATGTAGATCATTAAAGTTGTCATTTACATTTGAAATCAGATTAAAATCTTCTGAGATTTATTATTATTAATTCTCAACTTTAATTTTCAGGCTGATGTCTGGATGAGCGATGAATGTATTCCGGGCATTAATCCCGTGTGCATTACAGCACAGTGGCGAAAGTGGAATCGTCGGAGAAGGAAGCAGCAGCAGCGGCAGTTGCTGGTTCACAGGAAGAGGACAGAGCAATGATTCACGCATGACACAAAGAATGGGAGCATCCGCCTCTTCCAGCCTTGCACCCATCGGAGGAGATTCGGTGCAGGCAGCTAGGCTATCAGCCTCAGGAAATCCTGATCCATTGAGCATTATTGTCAGGTAAAAGGCTTCAATAATATATTGAATCAACACAATTATTCCTATGTGTTGGCCGATAATCGAACGTAGATGGTTGTCTTGATATTATTTTTAAAACAATTTATACAGTTTGTTGATTTTTAATCGAAGTTTTTATTATTGATTTCGAATACAGAGTGACTATATAATATAATAAAATTAATGAAGTATATGATTTTGTTACTGTAATTTCTATCCGCAAAGTTTAATTTCAATTTAAATTTTCCTATATGTATGTTTGATCTTGAATACTAAAGCGATTAAATTTTTTTTCTCAATTAATTTATTTCCTAATCAGTAATAGAAATATTAATTATATTGTATTGCGTATCTTCTAAACATAATTTAATTCATGAATTTCATATAAATATGCTATTATCAATTTGGTGCCTTTTATATAACTTTCGATAGAAATGGATTCAATATTCGAATGATCCTGACTATTTTGATCGCTAAAAGAGAAAAATATTATTTATTTATCTTTCAATTATAATAGTATTGAAAGTTTACGTTCAAAATATTACATTATGGGCATTACGACAATGCTACTAGCAGGGCACTTTTTGCTAAAAATTGAAACTACAGGCATTGTGTATCCTTCGCAATTATAATTAGGTGACACGTTATAAACCTAAATGCATGATAAAATTTGAATATTTAGATTTACAAAATAAATATTTAAATATTTTTTTTAACATTTGTATTTTACAATAGATATCATTCACATACTAATATTGAAATTAATATAATGAATAAAAGTTGAAAAGTCAAATTATGTTAATAAAGGAGAAATTTAAGAAAAAATAAAATAAAAATGGACATTTTGTTATAAGTGTTTAAATGTATAATACTGTTTCAATTGCTGCAGCAGCTGCTTTATAATGATTTGATGAAGGATCCTCTTGCCAAGGTTTATAACTTAAATTCATGTTAAATACATAATCATTTCTACTTTGAAGAAGGTTCCATTGCTTATTGATATGATGATTCAATAGGTTAAATATTTTATCAGTGGTTTGATTAACAACCAGCCGTATCAATAAATTTGCTGTAATTCTAATAAATAGATAAATATCATTAATCATCATTAAGAATTTAATATTAAATTAATCATATATATATATATATATATATATATGCACATATAAATGTATAGCCCCCCACCCCCCCTCCTCACCCTCACCCCGCCCACCGGCCGTAAGATGTATTTATTTACTTGTTGGGTATTGAAGCATAGTCATCTTTGTCTGTGTCAGATGAGTTTATATTAAAAGAATTTATTGTGATGCTTGGTAAATTTGTTTTGTGCCTAAATATTCGTGATTCTTTATCCTTATGATGAAGATACTTCACACCGATATTTTGCTTCAGTGACTCAATTGATACTATTTTGTCATAACGTTTTTCATCCATTGCAGTAGTTATAGGTCTTACATCTTCTAAAAACTAATGGTAAATTATTTCAAGTAATTACACATTTCCCAATGGTATTGACGTGCTATTATTAATTTCATTATTTTACTTTATATATTAAAAATAAAACAAATTGAATGAATTAATACTGTAACTTACACCAGGAATAGTACATTTGCCATGACTATTTATAATGGTTCCAATTATGTGTACGGCATCCAGGAGTGGTTGATTAAAAGTACCACCATATGTTCCACTATGCACCTTGTTTTCACCACAACTAATATTTAGCGTAAAATGACAAAGACCACGATAGCCATATTTTAAACATGGTGTATGACTCTCATTTTTATCAATATTGAAGCAAATATAATCTATGTTCTTAAAAAATTCCTTGCTTTTTACAATTGCATTGTGTAAACTGTGACTGTCGGACTTTGAGGTGCCTTCTATTACAAATTTAATATTCAATGGAAGTTTATTTTTCGTTATACTAAATATGCTAAGGGCATTAAGCCAACACATTAGGGAGGCCTTATTGTCTCTGATGCCACATCCATATAATCTTTCGTTCTCTTCTTTTAAGTTAAAAGAATTATCATTTTGCACATCTTCTGGTCGCAAGGTATCTGAAAGTCATACATTCGAATTATCGCACAACTTATAGAAATTCTTAATAAGGTTAATAATAAATATAATAATAACCAATATTGCCATAGACACATAATGTGTCGTATTCATCTTCGATCAATAGATTTGCGAACAATACCGGTGGAAGATTCGCGCTATTTTCATTATTGCCATCGATCAGATCTACCGATGCTCCTAAACGTTCCAGTTTTTTTGTACAAAATTTTAGCTAAGAGTATTATTAAAAAAATCACCAAGATTGATTAGATCGTTTGTATGAAAGTCTTTACCATTTTTAAAATATCTTCATGATGATCTGGATCATTTGATATTGACGGTATCGCCACGGCTTGCTTCAAATTATCAATGAGAATTGCTCGATCTTTATCGACTTTAGCGAACAGCTCGGGCATATTATTTATTAACTTTATTCTTTCATCGTCAAAATCCATTATTACAAGCTTAATTAAAAGTAATTAACCGATCGGTAAAATATTAATATCAATTTTAATTTATTGATTAAAAAAAATAGTCATAATAATCGTAGCCTACTTCAGTTTTATTTTCATTGACAGTTGCACGTGGATATTTTTTTATTGTCTTGTTGGTGTAGTCATTTATTCTCGAATTTAAATTACGTAAATATGGATATTATTTAAGATTTTTCCTAATTACCTTATCGTAATTACAGCTTCAGTCGCTAAGCATAGGTAGAGAAAAATATATTCCTTAAAAAAATTTGTTAGAAAACACTCAACGTTATTGCAGAATGCCCCAACCAACGGCCGAAAAAAATACAAAAATGTTTTTACATAATAATAACAAAAGCGACGACGACGACGACGACGACGACGACGACGACGACGACGACGGCGACAACAACAACAACAACAATAATAATAAAACCATTTTATCCATTCACCAACTACATTTGCATCCACTTTAATTAATCATTAATATTAATATGAATTGCATGCTCAAGTGCATGACACTTTTATCGTTAGGACGATCGATTAAAGCAATTGATGTTTCAGAGAGCGAAAAAAACGCGTTACCGGTTTCGCTACGTTGCGTAAGAAGTTCATAAGGAGGCGAAGCTCTTCCAAGGCGTGCGACCATGGGCGCATCATCGTGGGTACTTGGAGCCCATTGGAGGCAGGTGCTCTACTGGAAGAGTACGAGGCTCTGGCGGCCCTCAAGGATTTGCACGTACAGGCGGAGCTGGCGAGGCCACCGGCGGCCACTTTCAAACAGGATCTCTCTACGCTTTATGATTATAAGTATTGCACGGACGTGGACCTTGTGTACAGGGGTGCTTGCTTTCCTGTCCATCGCGCCCTCCTGTCGGCCCGATGTCCCTACTTCAGGGATCTCCTCGCTGGTTGCCCAGGTCTGTCTACACCTGGAAATTCTACTCAAGACGGTTTAACTAGATATTTACTATTTAGTATTACTAAAATTAACTTTACCTAGGCAGTTATTCCATCTATATCTGCTTTACACTTACCTCATCATTTGTATTATTTTTTTTTTGTCCTATTATTTAATGAAAATAAAGCATTTATTGCCGGTGCAATCATTACAATAACGTTACAAATACAATGTCGAACGAACAATTTTTTTTTTTTAATAGCTTACGATGAGAAATTCAAGTCTTGAGTTATAAGTCTTGATCGTTAATCGTGTCGTTTATCGAGACTTAATTTATCTTAAATAACATTGCCTATTCTTAGCCGACATTCGTATTTATTTGGTATTTACTACTAAACCATCGCTTTTACCTACTTACCATCCTTAAATCGAGAAGTTTATGTATTATCTTTTGTGAAGTTAAATTTTATGCCTTGATTGTTCAATATATACTATAGGCAGATAAGTGATAAACATATAAAAAAAAAAAAAAAAAAAAAAAATATTATTTTCCAGGCTACGGTGCTCGTATATGTCTCGAATTACGCAGTCACAACATCGAAGTGCCGATGTTTTCCGGACTACTGCGATATCTCTACACGGGTGATGTCTGTCCACGCGATGGCTCGCTCGATTCTAATCTTCTGCGGCGCCTTGGCGACGAGTTTGGCAATCCAAATCCCCTCGAGCACGATTTGCGTTACTTATTGGAGACAGGAAATTACGCGGACGCGGCCCTCGTTTTTACGTCCGACAGTGATTACCAAAGACCAGACAGCGGTAGCTCCGAGTACGGCTTCAGGCCAAAACTCGAGTTGCCGTGCCACAAGGCAATTCTCTCGGCCCGTTCGCCGTTTTTTCGCAATTTGATTCAACGGCGAACAAGATCCGGGGAGGACCATACGGAGCGCGCTCTACATATTCCTACAAGGATAGTGCTCGACGAGTCCGTCATACCGAAGAGATATGCCCACGTTTTGCTACACGCCGTATACTTAGATACGGTTGATCTCTCGTTGATAATGAGGGGTACGGGGTGCGGAAACAGTGCTGGTAGCTTGGGGGAGGTAATGTCTGATGATTTTTTTTCGTTTTATGTTTTTGAGAATTAATTATTTCGTTGAAAAATAAGTTGGATTAAATTTTATGGATATACGCTCAATCGATGTTCATTAAAAAACAACAAAAAAAAAAAAAAAAAAAAAAAAAAAAAAAAAAAAAAAAAAAAGTCAATTGTAATTAAATAAAATAATTGATACACATTGATATTATGGGAAGCAAGTACGATTATTATTTTGATAATTTTCATATAATGGAGCACTTTTATTTTACAATGTCAATCATCAAATAGAACGTCGGAATTAATAAGTATTTAAAAAATTTCAATCTAATGTATTAATGACCAGGTTCTAAAAATTTAATAAAGAAATTAGAAATATTTGTATAAATGGAATAAATTACATTTTCTTTTACATTTTAAAAAATACTATATTAAATATGTTATAAAAATATTTATATAAAAAATAGTCATCGAGAAGGTATTTTTTAATCGTTTAATGCTATTATGCTGAAGGATTGATATTTATTCAACTTTTCAAGGTTCAGGCGTTAACACATACAGGTCGTATGCGACCTAGTCCATTAGAAGAAGCCATGGAATTATATCAAATAGGTCGATTTCTCGAATTAGATATTCTTTCGCAAGGCTGTGAAGATTTGATCTTAGAGTGGCTTACATTAGACTCTCTTCCAACTGTTCTTAAGTATGTAATTTTTCAAAATATATTCTTATTATTGTCAATAATTGTAAACAATTCAATTATGCAATTGAAATAGAAGTTCTGTGTGCGCGTGCGCGCGCGCGCGCGTGTGGAAATTAAAAATATTACACACTATGTATATATATTTAATGTACTGAGCAAATTAATTAAAATTTAGATTAGTAAGTGGTAATAATTTATTAGAAAATATATGGAAATTATTATTCATTCCGTTACCGTTAAAAATATTTAAAAAATACAAGAATTTTATAGCATTTTGCTAAGATTAATATAATAAAATGTGAGTAACTATTGTCTTATATTATTTTAATGTGATATGTACATTACATTTGAATTGATTAAATTTAACAATTACAATTAGATGTGTCGAGATTATTGCAAATCATGAAATTTATCAACAATATTATAGATCTAATATTTCTCTCACTGTTTCTCTCGCTGCAGGTGGGGTAGTCAGCCGCATGGATCAGCGTGGGTGCATCGGCAGGCATTACATTATCTTAGAGAAGAATTTCAACCGGTAGCGTCGTCACCGATTCTTCATCAACTCGATCATGCACATTTGTCGAATGTTCTGCAAAGTCATTTCCTTCAGGCAAGTGAGCTGGAAGTGCTTCAGGCGGTTCTCAAATGGGGCGAACAAGAGCTTGTTCGACGAATGGAGGATAGGGAACCAAATCTGTTAAGCCACACCGTTCATTCTGTTGCGCGAAAAGGGGTAAAGAAACGAGATCTTAGTGATATTGAACTACGAGAAATACTGAGTGAGCTTTTACCACTCGTCAGGATGGATCATGTTCTGCCACAAAACAATGAAATACTCTCTCAGGCGAGTATTTTGTACATCCGTACTATTGTTTATAGCGAATACGAAGATTTATTACTATGGTATTTGCATTTGAATTTTAATTTCAATCAAATTATGTACGCTGAAATTATTTTTATAATTTTAAATATTAATAATTAAAAAATTTCAATTTTACTTTTATTATTCGTATCACAAATTAGATAATTTAGATAATTAATAATTTATAAACTTATGTTTATTTAATTGTCGATTGAGAGCAGTGAAAATTGATTAATTTTTTAAAATAAGAATTGTGTATTAATATTTCCAATATTTTCGATAATTTTATTGTTTTAAATAATGTTTTGTTGTTGTTGTTGTTGTTGTTGTTGTTGTTATAATGTTAAATATTTTTAATTTCAATAAAAAGAATAATTGAGTAGTGTCATAAAAGGAAAATTCTTAGTCATACATATGTTATTTTATATATTTATGTTGCAGGCTATAAGAAGAGGTTTAGTATCTACCCCACCAAGTCATATGATTGGCGACGAAAGGGAAAACTTACGAATAAATGCTTGGATAAGAGGAGGGAAGAAAAATGGATTATTCGTAAGGCCCCGTCTTTTTATGCCCTATTATGAAGAAATTAAGGTAAGCGTTTATAAAAAGTATTTTAAAAACTTTTTTCTTCATTTTATCAAATTTCATTTATACGCCATAAATATTGTCTTATATTATTTCAATCAATTTATTTAAATTATATAATTTGAAAACTTATAAGAAACCTTTAATTAGGCTCTAGTCGAAGAACAAATGATTCAAGAAGCGGAATTAGTAAGGTTGCGAAGGGCACGATACATTCCTGATATTCCCGATACCTTGTATATGGTTGATGAAAAGCCGAGGATTACAGGAGCTGTTGGAGTCGATATTTTAGCAGCTGCCCTTCCAGGTAATTAATTATATGTTTATTTAAGTTTAATTATATTTTAGATAAAAAATTTGCCCGGTTTTATCTTTATAATGGGCGAATTAATAGTTCCAGATTCAGCGACTATGTCATCAATGTTAAAGCGCGAACAAAAGTTACGACAATCTCCAAGTTCTCAACGAGCCATTAGTTTACCGCTATCATCGCGCCATGAAATCAATAGACAACTGCGATTACGCGTTGTCCGAGAATTTAACTTACCTGACGCGGTGGCCGAACTCCTTGATGTGAGTAAAGTAATTTTTAGTAATTTAAGAACAATATTATTTTACAGAATATATAATGGCCATATAACATTATTTTCATTAATTTTTAATTATTTTAATATCATATGGTATTTTGTTATTGGTATATCTGAAGTGGATTAAATTGATAAGAAAACAATTTGATTTTTTTTTTTTTTTTTATTTTTTTTTTTAAATCTAACCATAAGTATATATTTCTATTTACAATCATATACATCAATACATAAATATTTTTATATCTGATCTTATTAATATTCAATTTTATATAATGATAAAATACATTTTTTATAAATCCTGCAAAAAGAATTAGTTAATAATTGTAGTTTCTCTTATTCCTTTTATTTTATTAAATATGCTCTAATTTTTTTATTAAAAGTGGGCCACGAAGCCGAAAATACTTCGGATGTGATGACTCAAACGTTTCAATGTCGTTCATACAAACTTTTGATGGTAGAATTTTATTAGATTACATGCCTACATTCGATTAATTTTTTTCTCCGTACGGTTTTCATTTTTTAGCATAAAAGTTTTTCGTCTTTTTAAAAGACTTAGTTGTAAATTATTTGAAATATTTGTTATTTATTGGAATCGTCATTGGACATTATGAAGACATTAATTTTCATAATTTTTATAATCCAGGCTAAACGTACTTTTCATTTAGAAAAATTAAATTTTATATTTAATTATACGTATATATGTAATTATTATACTTGTACGTCTCCTTCATAAAAAATGAAAAACAAAAACAAAAAAAATATTAATTTTTTTGTATTATCATGTTGTAATTCATTATAAGAATAACAAGTTCAAATAGACCTGAAGTATTACAATAAATAATGAAGCGGAGAAATAATTTTAACAAGGAACGATTATTTCCAACTAACTATTAAATAAAACGATTGGAGACAAATTGAAAATTCATTCTGCCAACCATCCGTATTTTACAAAACTTAGAAGAACATGTAACAATTTATCTTCGTAAATCTGGCCTTTGCCAATATTCAGGAAGGCTTCTTTATTTTTTATGCTATTAACATCGGGTGCAGTTCCACGAGTTGCTTTAATCACCTGCATCATCATAATACATTGGGGAAATTTAAGTGGTGCGCATGCCTTGAGCAATGCATCGAATTCCTCCTTTGGAAAATCTTTTGTATCAACTTTGAGTGATTGTAAGGTTTCGATAAAGGTCTCGTAATACAAGCTTATAAGATCATTTAAATTTTCGTCGATGACATCTTTTTTCGCACTGGATATGAGAAAGAAAATAAGATCCTTCATACCATAGTCATATTGGCTTAATTGGAAGTCGACGATTTTCATTCCAACTATTTTGCCGTTATTACTGTAACGAAACATCATATTGTTAACCCAAAAGTCGCTATGTACGAAAGTACACCAGTTTTCTGAAACAAGCCGTTAAAAGTTATTGGAATGTTATTTTTATTTATAGTAAAATTAAGTAAGTAACTAATGAAAAATAAATACTCTTTGTTAAAAATTTGTACATTAAAATTTTAAGAAAAAAAATTAATTAATTAATTTATCAAATGAGAATGTTTTGAATAAATGATAATAATTTTCATATATATATATGTGTATATATATATAGTATAGAGGGAAAAATTTGGTATTTAAAATATATCCCATACGAATGATGGTTAAATTATGCATAAAATATGCGAATTAATTAATGTTTCCTCATGACTCACTATTTAATGGCTTCTTTTCATTCTCAACTTTTTCACAGTAATCTAAGGTCTTAAATACTTTATCTATGTAGGGCTTTGCCGCGTCCATTTTTTTGAGATTTTCGACAGCTTTACGTATCATTTCTAAAACACATTTCATTGCTACTTCACTGTGCGCGGATTCGAGACCCGGTACGATCGTCTCTTCAAAATCTTTCGGATTTTTTATTCTGTAACCGCAAGCAATGGCGTGCAGTTTTGCTAGTTCACGTACTCCGTATTCCATGTGCTCAAGGTCCATCCCTACAATTCGATCTTGCGTAGAGTAACCTAAGTATTGCAGATTTTCTAGAACAATGGAGGCTTGACTGTCGAATTTCTCTGTCCCATGTAGACCCATTCTTCCTCCGTAAAAGTGCGGCACTAACTTTATTAGCTCATTCTCATTAAAACCGCTGTTAATCTATAAAATATAATTATTTCATTTCAATCATGAATGAATATTTATATGTATTAATTATTAATTATACAAATTTATTATTTCAAATTGCGGGAAAAGTTTATTTTGTTTGTTTGATAGCGATGTATATGAAATTTATATAATTATCAGGAAAAAAAAAACCTTACCAAAAAAACATTACAATTTTTTAACAACGGGCATTGCTATGTAAATAAAAAAAAAAAAAAAAAAAAAAAAAATAATTAACTTTAATGCAAAAGAACTTGCTCTTTCATTATATGACGAATATAGTCGTTAAATTTTAAAATATGTGCATTACATTTTATCTTTTTTCAATGAATTTTTTAACTATCGTTGACGAGTCATTGCGCAGAGTTTTTGCCAATAAAATTAAAAATTGTATAAAATTCACTGAAATGCTTACTCTACATGTAAATTATGATTTTATGTAACAAACCTGAAGTTGAAGGAAGGCTGGTGCAATTTGTTTATAGAAGTAAATTTCTTTCTTAAATGTAATAGGACTATTGAAGAGATCAAGCAGATAATCAGATTTAGGTGGCATTTTGCAGACCAAATGATAAATTTCTTGCTTTAAATTATCTATGACATCGACGTTTACTGCTAATATTAGACTACCAAAGTTCTCACCAGGATCTGTCAGGTGCTTCCATTCCTTGACTTGTACCGTTAGAGTTGAACTTATTGTTTCTCGAAGGATACTTTCCAGGTCTTCCAATGGTAGTAGCTCATTTAATTCTGGCATTTTCCTCTTGAACATAGTCATAAATATATTGTATTAATTTTTATATCATTGAGCTTTATGTTACTTACAATTTATTTCATCTAAAGCTATTTTTACTTCGAGAGACAATCTTTCAACAATAGCTCATACGCAAATTAGTATTGATTATCAAATAATGGGTATGAAATTAAAAAAATTTTCTAGTCTTTATCGTGTACTTATTATTGTATATAGAGACTGGGCATTTCTTTTAGAAAATAGTTTTTAGAAAATAAGATATTCTATGTCAATGTATAAAATGTATCACGCACGAAATGTGTGATTAAAAATTTCTATCCGTCGTATTTGAATATTTAAAAAAAAAAAAAAAAAAAAAAAAAAAAAAAAAAAAAAAAAAAAAATAAAAAAAATAAAAACATGTATTCTTCTAATTAATAAGCAGGTATTTGCTAACCATATAATAATAATCATCATAAATGTTCTAAAAATTGTTCTCATATAATATTGATGACCGTACATGTATGCTAAATTAAATTTGTTCGCAGTGTAAAACAATAAGTAATATGCTTTATACAAGCATACATACACGCGATGTTGAAGTTCTCTCATGATGCAGTTATTTAGATATTGGAATTAATCCTAATTGCGCTAGAAAATTAATTACTTGTGAAATTCCTAAATTTCAGCTAGCATAGATTTTGAAATTTATAAGACAGAAAATTTATAAGAAGAAAACGGATTATTTATCAAGCACTTTGGAATATGCCAAGCATTTCATTCAATTAATCTCAATCCCGTTAAAACTGAATCGTTATTTATTAAAGAAATATTATTTATCTACAGGAATAGATGGACCACAAGGCTTCGTAAAATTTTAAAAACTTTATTCCAAATCCCGCAATAAGTAAGATGTATCGTGTAATTATTATCTTCTTTAATTGTTCAAATAAACACGTGTCGTGTTATTATGCAATGACATAATATGAGCGTACTACAAAAAAATTCCAGCAGTCCTCATTTTGCGCTCGAGTCTCACGTGTCCCCGACTAATATATGCGTGTGCATGCATTGTTGACATTTTTGCGTCAGCGTAAATGCAAGCTCAGATTTCATTATGCTTGAATGCTTGGTGCTGGGTTAAAAAAGAGAGAATGAATTTTCATTAAAGAACTTTTATGACCGTACGTTTTGTGAAAATGAAAAATTTACTTTCAATTACCGAATAAGTATTTTATTACTTTTATACTTGGTTTGTTTATTAAGATGATAGAACGCAGCTTAAGAATTCAGCAGAATGATATACTTTACGCTACATGTATTTTAAATCCTTCAGAGAATGAGTCTGATACTACTATATAATGACATCTATTCAATTTGTATAAATTACAATGCACGTGTGTGTTTGTGTAAATAATTAAAATTGATATCAAATATCTGAACTATAATATTTTTATATGATATTATGAAGATTACTATGTCTTGTAATTTCATACTAAAAACGTTTTTCAGCAATATAAAATATCTGATATTTTTTGAAAATTGAAGCATACGTGTTAACAAATTATAATGGAACAGCAACAACTATTATCAGAATTCAATATTGTTACGTGTAAAATTTTGTTAAAAAATTTTTTTTTTTCATCTAATAACATTGCCATAAAAGTATTAAGGGTAAATATTCATTTAAAAACAGAATTTCAGCTCAAAAATATCAGCAATTTTCTTCTTGCATACACGTACATACACGTATATCTTTTAATCCATATAATGATATGCATTATGTTATCATTTCAACTTTTAATGGCAATGAACAAATTTTTAACGATAAATTCACTTAAATATTTTTCATTCGAAATTGCTTCTCATTTAAGCAATTGAAATGATTAATGAATATTTAATATTGTAAAGGATTTTTTCTGCAAGCTTCAAATGAATAAAGTTAAATAAAAATCCACTATGATTAGCTTATGTACCAAGTGCATTTACTTTGTTTAATACAATTTCTGTGTTATATTAATTTAAAAATATAAAACTAAAAATTGTTATAATATCTGTGTTACGAAGTACAATATTCGGATAAAAGTTTCAAAATTTGATTGAAGAATTTTTAATTATATATATCGAAATATTTTTGATTATTTGCCATTCTAATATATGATTTTCATAATATGTATTCATATAATACAATTTATTTCACTTGTTCATTATATTTTGATTGTAATTTTATAGAGATAATAGATTACGAACATAATGAAAATGACTTGATAATTATTGCTTAAAAGTTTAAATATTACAAAATATTAACGATCTTCTTAATTCACAATAATGTACTTATTATATAAGTGAGACTAATATCAATTTAATACTACTATAAAAAAATTAAAATATTAATGTTGATTCGTAACGATGTTTCTTGAGTTACTGCAATATTTTTGTATGCAAAACTGATTTTAAACAACAATATAAATACATATATTGTAAAAATAAAAATTAAATTTGATATGAATCGTTTTAAATAATTTATTATCATTTGATGATATTTTTATTATAAAAAATGCAATTTCACAAAATTGACTTATCAATAAAATAAGTTTCTTCTAGAAATGTATAGTAATATAGAATTTACAGAAGTTTTTTAAATAAGTTAAATCGGTAAAGAAACTTCAACTGTGCCAAGTTTATTTCCGATTCAACTGTTTGCAGTGCATTAAACTGTTTTAGAAATGGGAGCACATTGTGATTTTTAATAATTCGTTAATTATATGTATATGTGTGTGTGTGTGTGTGTGTGCGCGCGCGCGCGCGCGTGTGTATTTTTTTTATTTCATGCAACTTTTTCATTCTTAATATGTAAAATTTTTCATTTAACGAATTTTCTTACATAACGCAATGTTTCGTACATTACAAGAAACATA